TATCAATCTCAAGCAACTTTCTTTTTTTAAAAAGATTAAATATTTAAGAGGTTTAACCAAGTTTATTTACTCTTTAGTGAGCTGATAGATCTTTCACTTTTCTAAGATGGGTAATGGAGGATGTTTTTATTAAAGTTGATAAATACATTTTCCTTATTTATTTTATTACTTTAAATGTCGATAAAGATAAGGAAATACCTTTCATTTTAGGAAGTCCTTTCTTAGATAATGGAAAAGCCATGATTGATGTATATAAGGGTGAATTAACTATGAGGGTTCAAGATCAAAATGTTATAATTGATGTGCTGAAATTTATAAAATTCTCTAAGGTTAGAATAAATATTACTTTAGAGTGGATTTGAAAGTTGTCATAGTCGAGAGTCTAAAAGAAGAATTGCTGGAAATAGAATTTTTTCAAGAGGAAGAAGATGAAAAAATAAATAGATGTATGGGAAATTTGTTGAAACAAATGAAGGGAATGAAAGTTTAATGAATGAAAATTTTTATTTATTAGAAACATCCGCTTATGAAAAAATTTTAAAACCATACATTGAAGAGGCCGCTAAATTAGAGTTTAAGCCTTTACCTTGTCATCTCAAGTATGCCTTTTTTTGTAATAACTCCACTCTTCCTATAAATATTTTAGTAAATTTAGAAAAACATCAAGAAAGTGATTTCATTAGTTCTTGAAGTAAATTTAGAAGAGCTTTTGTGTTGATAATTTATGATATTAAGGGGATTAATCACTAAATTTACATGCATTAAATTTTAATGGAAACTAATTCAATGCCAAAAGATGACCGTCAAATAAGTCTTAACCATAACAAAAAAGTTGTTAATAATAACGAGATTTTTAAATGGCTTGATGTTGGGATTACTTACCCTATTTTGATAGTTCTTGGGTTATCCCTATTTATTGTGCTCCTAAAAAAGGAGGATTGACTGTCATAATAAATGAACATAATAAACTTAAACACACATGAATTATTATAGGCTAGAGGATTTGCATAGATTTTAGGGATTTAAATAATGCCATTATAAGAAAGATTAGTAAAAATCAAATTGTTGACCATCTTTTTAGACTTTTGATTGAAAGTATGCATCATATGTGCATGAGATTAACAAAAAATTTCCACATGAACAATTTTCCACTCATCATTTGAACAAATCACTATTGTTATGATGACATTATTAATTGTTTTGTTATTAATACTTCCTTAAACTTTATCGCCAATTCAAAATAAGAAGTTTATGCATGATACCAAGTTTTATTTTTGGGATGAACTATTTTTTAAATCGTGCAAAGATCTAATTATGAGAAGATGTATCTCTAAAGAAAAAATATAGCCAATTATTAAGGAGTGTCATGATTATCATTATAGTGGAAATTTTGGAGGTATTGAATCTTCTTCTAAAATCCATCAATCTTGAATTTTTTGGCCTACTCTATATAGCATGTAAATGAATATATTACAAAATACGATCAATATAAAAGAATGCAAAACATTTGAAAAAGAAATAAAATTCATATTAACAATGTCTTGGAAATAGAAATATTTGATGTTTAGCGATTGAATTTTATGTGACCATTTGTGCCATCTTATGGAAATTAATATATTCTTATTGTTGTTGATTGTGTTTCAATTTGGATTGAAGGTGTCTAAACCTCTAAAATTGATGCTCAAATTTTGATTAAGTTTTAAAAAAAATATTTTTTTCTAGATTTAGAATGCCAAGAGTTTTAATCAATGATGGACAAAATCATTAATGTAATAAAATAATAAAAATAGATTTAAAGAAATATGGTATTAATTAGAAGTCATTTTTTGCTTATTATCATCCCCAAACTAGTGGTCATGCAGAGATTAGAAAATGGGAGATTAAGTGAATCTTGGAAAAATAGTTAATTTTAATAGAAAGGATTGGGCTATTAAATTTGATGATTCATTATGGGCTTATAGAATTAATTTTAAGACTCCTATTGGTATGACTCCCTATAAATTAATTTTTGGAAAATATAGCCACATTTTTATGGTACTAAAGCATGAAGCATTAAGGGCAAATAAAGAATTAAATTCTAATTTTGAGAGTTTAAAAGAAAATAGATTGATAAAGTTGAGTGAATTGGAAGAAATTAAATATGAAACTTATGGAAATGCAAGAATTTATAATTATAAAGTTAAAAAGCATGAAATTAATCTTCTTAAGAGAGAATTAATTAAGAGGATGTTCTACTTTTTAATTCTAAACTTAAACTATTCCCAAAGAAATTAAAATTTTGATGGTTAAGAACAATCACTATCATAAAAATATTTCCTAATGGAATTGAGGAAACTCAAGATAAGAAATGAATGAATATTTTCAAAGTAAATGACCACATATTTAAACTTTATTTAGGAGGAGACATTGATCAATTATGAAGTATAATTGAATTTGCTTATCCAAAAACAAATTTATTAGTGTAGTTTGGCAGAAAACTATAAACTTAGAGCTTACAAGTGGCAACCAACTTGTGTCTTTGGTAATCATATTGGGATGGTTAGAAGTGCTTTATGCACTAGTTATCTTACCCTTTATGTCATTGTTTTACATGCTCACATATTTTATACTATTCTATTTTCATATGAAAATATGTGTATTCACTAATATTTATATGCATTATAATTTATATTTGAACAAATTTATGTTATGAAAGTTCGTTAGGGATGTTAGGCCCTCTTGAACTTAGTCCCAAGCTAATTAAAAGAGAGAGGTGAATTGGAAAAATTTAAAACCAAAACACAATCCAAATCACCACAATCAAAGTGCGGAAATTAAAACGCAGAAACAGTAAAAAGAAAGAACACACCGGATTTATAGTGGTTCGGTCAAACCTTGACCTACGTCCACTCCCTTGAGGCACCCCCAAGTATTGCACTAAACTAGTGTCTCTCCTTTAGCCCCCACGGCTAGGCGGAGAAGCCCTTACAAAATCACTTCCACCTTCCCCGGTGCGGCGGAGTCGCCGGGTCCTTTGACACCAAAGAGACTTCTTCTTTGGTGAACTTACCTCGAGACAAGCCTTGAATCCGATGGTACTAAGGTGTGAGTTCGTCGGAGCAACCGTGTGGATCCCCCACCACACTCGCTTGAGTCCCCCCTCACAGGATCTTCTCCCTCTCTCAAACTCCACCCTTTCCTCTCTCCCTTTCAAGCTCTCTCTTCAAGTTTCCCCCACAAGAACGAAGCTACAATGGCTGCCAAAGACACTTACAAAGTGCCTTGCCATAGCTTAAATAGAGGCACTCAAAACGAGCTCATTAATGCAAGTTGCCAACATTATCGTCGAGGATGATAGGTATATCATCCTGGCCGATCAGTACAAATTAAGCTCATTAGCCCGGGATGATATGGGACGAACAGAAGAAAATTGATTACATCGTCCTGGCTTATCTTACGATCGTCCTGGCCGATTAGTTTAAAATCGATTTCAATCGTCCTGATCATCGCCCTGTTTTTGAGCTGGCCGATATAGATTGTCCAGGCCATCGTCCTGGCCTATCATGTGATCATCCCGGACGATGTGATCATATCAATCAACCATTATTGCTTTCCAAAGATACCAGATCAATTTAGGCATGATTGAGTTAGATAGTCCTGGACGATAATAATGTCGTCCTGGCCGATTTCCTAAAATATAAACTTCCTAAACTGATTATGGCGGTTGAATCTTTCTGAATTGAGATTATCATCCTGGCCGATACAAGTATCGTCCAAGCCGATCTGTTGACGGTTGCCTTAATTAGGATGCCCTAACTAGGATTTCTGATTTTGGACAGATCGTCCAGGCCGATCTTACGATCGTCCTGGCCGATGTTACCAAAAACAGAAATCATATAGGGAGCAAGAGAATTTCTATCAAGTTAGTCACACCAAATACAACAAACTCAAGAAAGGAAAAAGATTACAAATTGACACAGACCTAGTCTACCCAATCTTGAGCTGGTTCCAGATTGCAGTCAGATCGTGTGGACCTGAAACGTTAGCACATAAGGCAATCATAGAGAAATAAGGAATGTTTGTTATCAAGAAAATCATAAACCATAGATCCGTAACAATCTCCCCCTTTTTGATGATGGAAAAACATTTCAATTTGAATTTTCAAAAAAGCAATTTCTCCTAATCTCCCCCTCACTAGAATAAACCCTTTTAAAAAAAGGAGAGATAAAAATATTTTTGTAGGTTTAAATTTTTGAAAAGAAAATAAGGGATACAAGTACGTTCTCCCCCTTTGACATTATCAAAAAGAGAGAAGGCACAGAAAATAAAGAAACAACAGATATAGCCTGAG